TTGCCGTCTATTAATGGCAATGATAGAGCACTTCCTCATTCTTTTTGCATGGTTGCTGGAGATTTTAAGGCATCGTAAATTAGTTACATTAGGCTCCCCACATAAGCGGTACTTATATTTCCTACTTAATAGATGCAACTTCCCTAGATCTAGGGAAGTAATGCTACCCCTCTATTCCGCTTTGGTTAGACCACACCTGGAATATTGTGTCCAATTCTGGGCACCACAATTCAAGAGAGATATTGACAAGCTGGAATGTGTCCAGAGGGGAGCGACTAAAATGATCAAGGGTCTGGAGAACAAGCCCTATGAGGAGCGGCTTAAGGAGCTGGGCATGTTTAGCCTGAAGAAGAGAAGGCTGAGTGGGGATATGATAGCCATGTATAAATATGTGAGAGGAAGCCACAGGGAGGAGGGAGCAAGCTTGTTTTCTGCTTCCTTGGAGACTAGGACGCGGAACAATGGCTTCAAACTACAAGAGAGGAGATTCCATCTGAACATTAGGAAGAACTTCCTGACTGTGAGAGCCGTTCAGCAGTGGAACTCTTTGCCCCGGAGTGTGGTGGAGGCTCCTTCTTTGGAAGCTTTTAAGCAGAGGCTAGATGGCCATCTGTCAGGGGTGATTTGAATGCAATATTCCTGCTTCTTGGCAGAATGGGGTTGGACTGGATGGCCCATGAGGTCTCTTCCAACTCTTTGATTCTATGAACTGTCTTTCGGGCTGCAAAGGCGGGGACGGGAAGTTTGAATTTGACAGTCTGTTTCTCTATAAAAATACATTGCTTTGTGTTGTATGGTATGTCTGCTCGACAAATGATCATAGTATGACATTGCAATAAAACAACTCGGTGGCTTTTCTTCCACTTGGTGAGACCTTTTATTGGGAAATATCAGGGGGAAATCTTGGGTGCTTCTTCCTGTCTCGAACTCTCTTTGATGAGTCTGATTGATCTCTGCCTCCTGGCAAAGACCCCTAAATTCTTGCTTGATATCATTGAGAGATGCTCTTTTTCCTCCCTTCCAGAGTAATGCTGGGCAAGGAAGGGTTAAGGGGAGGGAGTGTGGTTCCCAGAGAGGCAGGAAGGAAGTGGGCCTCCCTATATCACCTTACATGTCCCTCTAGGAACCAGACTCCCTCCACCTTTCCTTGTCAGGCTGGAAGAGGGGAGTTGGCCTCCTTCTCCTCCTCCTCCCTCTCCTTCTGTTGAGTCCTATTCCCAGACCTTCTCCAAAGGGCCCAACACACCTGGAGGGAGGGCCAAAGTTGGCCCAGGCCTGGACTTACAGGGGGTTGAGGGTCATCAGATTCTCCCAACTGGTATCCTTAGGAGAGGGAAGCAGGCAGGCAAAGGAAATGTGAGTGTTGGAGTAGAACCTCTTGAGGGACTTCTTTCCCTTGAAAGAAGGAGGAGGAAGAGCATCTTGGATACGGTTGGGTTCTTCATCAAAGAGTGGCTCCAACATGGCGAGACCCAACTCACCTGGACCTGAAGCAGGACTTGGACGCAGTGGGGAATCCTGGGAGAGAACTATGCAGATGTTCTTGAATACACACATACAGCGCCAGTGCTTCGGGATTTCTTTCCCTTGAGAGAAGAGCCTGGAAGAGCATCTTGGACCCACTTGGCTTCTTCATCAAAGAGTGAATCCAGCATGGAGAGACCCAACTCACCTGGACCTGAAGCAGGACTTGGGAAAATTGGAGCATCCTGGGGAAAAACAACACATAAGTTCCTGAGTGTGGACCTTTCTAGCTCAGACACGCAGCGCCAGCGCTTCTGGCATTCCTCCTTCCGAGAGGGCGAGGGACCCAGAGAGGTTTGCAGCCGCCTCCACTCTCTCTGCCGCCAGTGGCTGAAGCCAGAGCAACACACCAAGGAGGAGATGCTGGACCTGGTGATCCTGGAGCACTTCCTGAGCATCCTGCCCCCAGAGATGGGGAGCTGGGTCCGAGAGTGTGGGGCAGAGACCTCTTCCCAGGCGGTGGCCCTGGCGGAAGGCTTCCTCCTGAGTCGGGCAGAGGACGAGAAGCAGGAAGGACAGGTGAGAGCATTGCCTCTTGGCTTCACTCACCTTGGGACTGATTTATTTATTTATCGTGTCATCAGCAACCATACCATTGTATTACAATTCTAACAGAACAAAACAAACACACAGATTAAAAAGAAAAAGAAAACACACAGATTTTGCAGACTTGGTAGTTGGTTAAATGTCCTTTGACCAGTATCTGGCCACTTGGAGTGTCTCTGGTGTTGCTGTAAGAAGGTCCTCCCTTGTGCATGTGGCAGGGCTCAGGGTGCATTGCAGCAGGTGGTCCGTGGTTTGTTCTTCGCACTCGCATGTCATGGATTCCACTTTGTAGCCCCATTTCTTAAGATTGGCTCTGCATCTCGTGGTGCCAGAGCGCAGTCTGTTCAGCGCCTTCCAAGTCGCCCAGTCTTCTGAGTGCCCAGGGGGGAGTCTCTCATCTGGTATCACCCATGGATTGAGGTGCTGGGTTTGGGCCTGCCACTTTTGGACTCTCGCTTGCTGAGGTGTTCCAGCGAGTGTCTCTGTAGATCTAAGAAAACTATTTCTTGATTTAAGTCATTGACGTGCTGGCTGATACCCAAACAAGGGATGAGCTGGAGATGTCTCTGCCTTGGTCCTTTCACTATTGGCTGCTACTTCCCGGCGGATGTCAGGTGGTGCAATACTGGCTAAGCAGTGTAATTTCTCCAGTGGGGCACAGACACCCCGTGATAATGCGGCATGTCTCATTAAGGGCCACATCTACTGTTTTAGTGTGGTGAGGTGTGTTCCACACTGGGCATGCATACTCAGCAGCAGAGTAGCACAGCGCAAGGGCAGATGTCTTCACTGTGTCTGGTTGTGATCCCCAGGTTGTGCCAGTCAGCTTTCGTATGATGTTGTTTCTAGCGCCCACTTTTTGCTTGATGTTCAGGCAGTGCTTCTTGTAGGTCGGAGCACGGTCCAAAGTGACTCCCAGGTATTTGGGTGTGTTGCAATGCTCCAGTGGGATTCCTTCCCAGGTGATCCTCAGAGCTCGGGATGCTTGTCTGTTCTTAAGGTGAAAGGCACATGTCTGTGTTTTAGATGGATTAGGGATCAGCTGGTTTTCCCTGTAATAAGCAGTAAGGGCAGCTAGAGCTTTGGAGAGCTTCTTTTCAACCATCTGGGACTGATGGAGAGATTAAATGTACATCCTGCCTTCCTTCCAAGATGGGACCGATGTGAGGGAGAAGCCGCACTCTGCCCCCTCTGCCTCTTCACCCCCCAGCTCTGTCCTTTCTGCTCTCACCTCCATTTCTACTGTAAGCTTGGTTGCTCCTGTACTCAAATTTGTTGACCCCAGATATAACACTGAAAATGATGTGAGGGGAAGTATGAGCATCTCAGAATGATTATTCTTTTAAACATAGGTCTGTGGAATATTGGGGGGGGGGGGGGGAGAGGGAATCCTTTTCTAATATTTTCCTTATTCTGGAATTTTCTGTGTTTTTTCAGGCACAAAATAACTGTATTGAAGTCCAGCCTGATGTCTCTGAATCAGAGAAATCTCCACCAGACACCACCCAGAGCCTCAGGCAGAAGGAGTCAAAGCAAGGTAAGAAGGAACCCTTCTGGGAGTTTTGGGGTTTTATGTTTGTGTAAGATCCCCTTTAGGGGATTGTCACACATCCACAATCAGTTTGAGATTGAGAATATGCACGTCCAGGATAATTTGGCCTTGGAATGAGTATATAGGTAGGTATTTGGTTGCAAAAGGTGTAAGTTCAGTGCAGTTTGCAGTTTTCTTTATTGTATTGTCGAAGGCTTTCATGGCCAGAATCACTGGGTTGTTGTAGGTTTTTTTTTAGGGCTATATGGCCATGTTCTAGAGGCATTCTCTCCTGACGTTTCGCCTGCATCTATGGCAAGCATCCTACCTCTGAGGATGCTTGCCATAGATGCAGGCGAAATGTCAGGAGAGAATGCCTCTAGAATATGGCCATATAGCCTGAAAAAACCTACAACAACCCAGTTTTCTTTATTGTTATACTTCTACATTTGCATACTGTTAGGTGGGACTGAAATATCAGCCCAACCGTATCTTTTCAGGTAGAACACAAACTAGGATGAGCCCTAAAACTGAGCTGGAAGACAAACAGACAACATAGAATAAGTTTAATTGGTTAAAATACCAAGCCCAGTACTCATTTCAATCCAACCTATTCACAGCACTGAATGAGATAAAACAGTCCTAAACTCCAAAATTTTACATATTCTTGGGCAGGAGAATGCTACCGGGTTCATCATAATAATAAAAACAACAACAACAACAATAATATTTCTATTATCTAGATGGAAACAGTTTTTCCTAAAACATAGTAACCAATAACTCTGGTTAGGAATAGTTTGCATGGATTTTGCTTTGAAAATGTCTTAAATTTGAGTGAATGGTAAAGTATGTTATGTTTAATGTTTTGTCGAAGGCTTTCATGGCTGGAATCACTAGGTTCTTGTGGGTTTTTTTGGGCTATAGAGCCATGTTCTAGAGGCATTTCTCCTCTATGTTTATTTTATGTTTATGTTATGTTTATTTTGCACAAGTTGCCATTTGCATACAGATCTGGACACGTTTTATTATTTTTTAATGTATGTTTTCTGATTATATACTAGATTGTTTGTGTGAAATAATTAATAAAAATATTTATTTAATAATAATAATAATAATAATATTGTTTCTTACCTGCCTTTCCTTGTATCTCAAGGTGGGTCACATCCCAGTAAAACACACAAACATTGAAAAAATTCTATCAACACACATATTTCTATAAAATACATATTAAGTACATAGGACAGAGATTTAAACACAGGACGGGCATTTAAAATCATGATTACTGGCTGGGTTCACAGAGTCATTTCCTCATAGGTTTCTTTTTAGAGCCTTAATTGTAACCTCTGAGACATGAGTATGTGATCAGCTTTCCACACCTTGCTCTCTCTCTCTCTTCCAGGGGCTGGAATGATGTTGTTGCCGAATCCTCAGTCATTTCTTCCCCTTTGTGATGGAGTGGAACTGAATCAGGTAAGCAGAAGGATTCCTGGAAGAGGAGGAAGGGAGCTGCCTGGGGGGTCATTGGTTCCAGGCTCAGTCATCAAACATCTCTTGAAACAGACAAGATTGAATGGGGATTTCTTAAAATGAAATACTGAAGGCACAATTGCAAACAGTACCAACAAGAGGGGGGAAAGTAAGAGAAATCTAAAGAAACCAGAATAAATGTTTAAAGATCTTCCAGCTGAGCTAAGATTTAAAAGAGACATGTACAAGAAATGGAAAACGGGGGAAATCACCAAAGGAAATTCAGACAACTAACCAGCATAAGTAGGGAAAGGTCTGACAAGCTAAAGCAGAAAATGAGCTCAGGCTTGCCAGAGAGATTAAAAACAATAAAAAGGGGCTTTTTGTCAGTAGAAGAAGGAAAAATGAAGAAACAGTAGGGCCTCTGCATGGAGAAGGAAGTGAAATGCTAACAGGATAGGGAAAAAGCAGAACTACTCAACACCTTTTTTGCTTCAGTCTCCTGAAAGGAAATTGGTTTTCAATCTGAGCAGGATGGAGGCGACCAGGCAATAGGGCAGTGTTTCTCAACCTTCCTAATGCTACGACCCCTTAATACAGTTTCTCATGTTGTGGTGACCCCCAATAAGAACATTATTTTTGTTGCTACTTCATAACTGTCATTTTGCTAGTGTATGAATCACAATGTAAATATCTGATATGCAGGATGTATTTTCATTCACTGGATCACATTTGGCACAAATACCCATTGTGCTCAAATTTTAATACTGGTGGCGTTGGGAGGGGTTTAATTTTGTCATGAGTAAGGGTTGCTTTGCGGATTTGTAATTGGTTGAGCAGCCAAGCCCAAAGGGTGCTCACAAATGGTTCCTCTTTATCCTGGAAAGAAGTGACTAATGGGGTGCCACAGGGTTCTGTCCTAGACCTGGTGCTGTTCAACATCTTTATTACTGACTTAGATGAATGCTTAGAGGGCATGCTTATCAAGTTTGCAGATGACATCAAATTAGTAGGGACAGCTAATATTCCTTTGGTGAGACCTCACCTGGAATCGCATTGTGTCCAGTTCTAAGCACCACAATAAAGGCCAGATTCCATTTCTGATTCTACATGTTAATGAAGAAACGGTTCTGACTGTGACTAACTAGACGTCTCTACAAAGCTTACAACGTAGGCCTTTTCCATTCAAACAGCCAACAGGATTGTAAATCTATTGTTGAGAGATTCTTGTACAGTCTTTTTCTTGATTTCTCTGATGTGAGAAGGAAATGTTTTCTTTTTCCACCAGGGCCCAATCACCTTTGAGGATGTGGCTGTCCATTTCTCTTTGGAGGAGTGGGCTCTCCTGAATCCTGGTGAGAAAGCCTTGCACGTGCAGATCATGGAGGAGATTCATGGGATTGTGGACTCTCTTGGTAAGGCTCCCTTGTGGATGGGGATTTCTATTTCAAAATTAAGTATCCCAATCAGCAGCGCCCTAATGGGAGCAATAGCCTAAATCATCCCAGTCACGGAGGTTCCTTAAGGCAGGGCTTATGTTAGAAAAATAAGAGTTATAGATTGATCCTTTATTCTTTCTGGTACAAAGAAAACTTTTCCTTCTTTGTCTCTCATCTGATCTGCTATTTCAAGGTGGCAAGTTTTAGAAACAATATTACAGCTTCTTCTTTTGCCTTAAACCTGCTTTTTGGACAGGTAGGCTAGTCTCTGGGTTGTTATAGTTTTTTTCGGGCTGTATGGCCATGTTCTAGAAGCATTCTCTCCCGACGTTTCGCCTGCATCTATGGCAGGCATCCTCAGAGGTAGTGAGCTATATAAACCCAATTTTCCTGGTTTCCAACAACCTCTGAGGGTGCCAACCATAAATGTAGGTGAAACGTCAGGAGAGAATACTTCTAGAATATGGCCATATAGCCCGAAAAACCTAAAACCATCCAGTGATTCCAGCCATGAAAGCCATAAAAGGCTTACCTCTGCATGTCTGAAAGCTAGGATTTATTTGTTTATTTATTTATTTATTTATTTACAGTATTTATATACCACCTTTCTCACCCCTGGGGGGACTCAGGGGTCTTGCGGTTTGTGCAGAGCGTGCAGCTCAGTGCGCAGGTCAATTCCAAAAGGGAGCAACACAAGTATTGAAGAAAGCAAAACCAGAAATTTACTCTTGTATAATCTGAGTTCAATAAAGCAGTGACCTCAGACACAAAACCAATACTGCAGTCCCAGTTTCTTTTGAGTAATGAACAGTTAAAACCCAGATAAATTAATTTGAGCTAAAACGTATAATCAATTGGCATAATAATACACACTCTACGCTCTCTACCGTCTCTTCTCCCAAGTAAACATCCTCCCGGAGGAAAGGAGGAAGGAAAAAGAGAAGGGAGGGAGGGAGGGAGGAAGGAAGGAACAACAAAAAGAAAGGAAGGAAAAAGGAAGGAAGGATAGAGAGAGGGAAGGAAAGAGAAGGAAGGAAGGAAGGAAGGAAGGAAGGAAGGAAGGAAGGAAGGAAGGAAGGAGAGAAGAAAGGAACGACAAAAAGAAAGGAAGGAAGGAAGGAAGCAAGGAAGGATAAAGAGAGAGAGGGAAGGAGGAAGGAAAGAGAAGGAAGAAAGAGAGGAAGGGAAGGATGGATGAATGGATGAAAGGAAGGAGAGAAGCAAGGAACAACAAAAAGGAAGGAAGGATAAAGAGAGAGAGGGACAGAGGAAGGAAAGAGAGAAGGAAGGAAGAGAGGAAGGAAAGGATGGAAGGAAGGAACAACAAGAAGAAAGGAAGGAAAGAAGGAACGAAGGATAAAGAGAGAGTGGGACGGAGGAAGGAAAGAGAAGGAAGGAAGAGAGGAAGGGAAGGATGGAAGGAAGGAACAACAAGAAGAAAGGAAGGAAGGAAAGAAGGAAGGAAGGATAAAGAGAGAGTGGGACGGAGGAAGGAAGGAGAGAAGGAAGGAAGAGAGGAAGGGAAGGATGGAAGGAAGGAACAACAAGAAGAAAGGAAGGAAAGAAGGAAGGAAGGAAGGATAAAGAGAGAGAGSGGCAGAGGAAGGAAAGAGAAGGAAGGAAGGATAGGAAGGTGTGAGAGAGGAGGGCCTGAGAAAAGAGCCCTGGGCCTGGATTTGGCTGTACTTGCTCTAGGCAGTGAAACAGTGAATGGGGGATGGGGAGAGGACGACACTTATACCTTCTTTTTCTCCATGACTATGTTGTTTTAAGGATCATTTCAATCCACTTCTTATCTCACTCTCCTCGAGTCCTTTTCACTCTCACTGAGGAATAATTGTTTCTGTCCTTCTTCACAGCAGATAACTGGGAGAAGTGCAATGTATGCACCAAACACAGAAATCATTTTGGACACAATGGGGGTCTTCCTACGCACCAGCAAGTCCACAGTGAAGATGGAGGTTCTGCCAGAGAAAGCCCCTACAAATGCACTGTATGTAGGCAATGGCTTACCCAAAATAATGCACTTTTGCTTCATGAGACACTCCATGATGGGAAAACCCATTTTAAATGGAAAGTACTGGGAAAACATGTTATTGATTACGAATTGCCACTTCTAAACCAACAAGAAATCTTTGAAGGAACGGAGGATTTCATATGCCAAGAGTGTGGAAAACACTTTGCTTACAGATCGCTGTTAATGGCTCATCAGAGACTTCACACAAGAGAGAAACCATACAAGTGCCAGGAGTGTGGGAAATCTTTTATGAAGAGTTCACACTTGGTGAAGCATGAAAGATTTCACACGGGAGAAAAACCATACAGATGCCAGGAGTGCGGGAAGTGTTTTGCTTACAGTTCACACTTGGTGAGCCACAAAAGACTCCACACAGGTGAGAAGCCATACAAGTGCCAGGAGTGTGGGAAGTGTTTTGCCTACAGTTCACACTTAGTGAAACACAAAAGACTTCACACAGGAGAGAAACCATACAAGTGCCAGGAGTGTGGGGAATGTTTTACTCAGAATACACACCTTATGGAGCACTGGGGATCCCACACAGGAGAGAAACCATACAAGTGCCAGGAATGTGGGAAATGTTTTGTTCGGAGTTCATCCCTTGTGACCCACCAGAGAGTTCACACAGGGGAGAAACCATACAGGTGCCCAGATTGTGGTAAATGTTTTGCTTACAGTTCACACTTGGTGAGGCACCAAAGACTTCACACAGGAGAGAAACCATACAAATGCCAAGAGTGTGGGAAGTGTTTTGTCCAGAATGTACACCTCATAGACCACTGGAGAACCCACACACGAGAGAAACCATACAAATGTCACAAATGTGGAAAATGTTTTACACAGACTTCGTCCCTTAACAAGCACCAGAGAATCCACACAGGCTAAAAAACACACTAATGCCAGGTGTTTGGGAAATGTTTTCCTCAGGATTCATACCCTTTGAGCCATCAGAGCCTAGATACAGGAGAGAAATCTTTGTCCCAAAGAGCTGGGACAAAACTAATAAAATGTTTTGCAGCAGGAAAATTGCAGGTTTTGGACATTCTGGTGCTGTTGACTTTACATTCAGTGTTTCCTGATTCAAGTAGCACTTGGCTTGACTTTTGACTGATCTCTTAGACAATTCTTTTCTATTTTTTGTACTCTGTTCAGGTCATTTCGTTTGTTGTTCTTGTTGTTTTTTGCTTTGTTTTATTTGGGACTGTTTTGGAGAACTCTTTTGCTTCTCTGGACATGGGCTTCACCATGGGACTGGACTGGCTTTCCCCTGATCAGCCTTTGCGGGTAAACATCTGATTTAAAACACAGCCCTTCTGCCTATGATTTGGTGAAGTCTTCTTTTTGTCATTTGTATCTGTAAGTTGAGGTCCTCTGGAGCAGCAGAAAGCAATCTCCCTGTGACAATCCTTCAGAAGGTTGACATCCAAATCTGTCACTCCTTCCCACCTGTTACCAAGGAGGCTGTCCAGACTTTGAACCGGTGCTTGGCTGCTGTGTAGGACTGGATGAGAGCTAACAAGTTGAAATTGAATCCAGACAAGACAGAGGTCTTTCTAGTCGGTCGTAAGACCAAACAGGGCATAGGGTTACAGCCTGTGTTAGATAGAGTTATTATTGTATTGTCGAAGGCTTTCATGGCCGGAATCACTGGGTTGTTGTAGGTTTTTTCGGGCTGTATGGCCATAGTATAGAGGCATTCTCTCCTGACGTTTTCGCCTGCATCTATGGCAAGCATCCTCAGAGGTAGTGAGGTCTGTTGGAACTAGGAAAAAGGGTTTATATATCTGTGGAATGACCAGGTGGGACAAAGGACTCTTGTCTGCTGGAGCTAGGTGTGAATGTTTCAACTGACCACCTTGATTAGCATTTGATGGCCAGGCAGTGCCTGGGGCAATCTCTTTGTTGAGGTGATTAGATGTCCCAGATTGTTTCCTCTCTGTTGCTTTGCTGTGTAATCACCTCTCAACAAAAGATTGCCCCAGGGACTGCCAGGCCATCAAATGCTAAACAAACATTCACACCTAGCTCCAGCAGACAAGAGTCCTTTGTCCCACCCTGGTCATTCCACAGATATATAAACCCTTTTCCTAGTTCCAACAGACCTCACTACCTCTGAGGATGCTTGCATAGATGCAGGCGAAACGTCAGGAGAGAATGCCTCTAGACCATGGCCATACAGCCCGAAAAAACCTACAACAACCCACTATTATTTATTTATTTATTTACGCTATTTCTACCCCGCCCATATTAGCCTGAAGGCGGCTCAGGGTGGTGAACAGTTGGCACAATTCGATGCCATATATAAAATGCATATATCAATAAAAATAAAACCAACACATTACAATGTATCCAAAAACATCAAATTATTGAACAATAAAATTTTTTAAACTATGTTGTCATGTGCAGTCCTCATCCATTCCATCGTCTTAGCCGTTCCATGGCCACCTGAAGAGAGCACTCCGTGGTAACTCAATCATTCATCAACAAAAGGGCATCCTGCCTTCAGGGAAGATCAGGGTGCCCCATCTGCCTCACCATTGTCTTCCTACCCTTGACTGAAACCAATGTACAGATAACATCAATTGATCCCATATCCAGGACTGGAGATTATCAAGGCTTGGCAGCCACGCCAACTACTTTTCCTAATCAGCTTCCAGGAACCAAAGACAATAGATGAGCGGGCTTGAAGGCTCAGGGAAAGCTATCGCCCGTGCTTATCCAAACATCAACCATTTAATCCATTCACCTTTTCCCCCCAGTTCATTGTTTCCCGCCTGTACTGCCTCCTTCGTTCCCATTGGCCGAGAGGCCGAAGCGGTACTGGCTCTCTGATTGGCTGCGGCACGGCTAAGCTGGCCACGCATCCCAGCCAGCTGATGACTCCAACCAATCAGCGTGAAGCCGGCAAAGGGGGGGCCGGAGTGGGAAATTTGAATTTGACAGCTCTGTATTCTCTATAAAAACTGTGTTATTTTGCTTTATGATTTATGTCAGCTTTGGCAAATGATTGCAGTTTGACATCTGCTCCAACTGGAAAGCAATAAACAACTCGGTGGCATTTTCTTCAACTTTGGTGAGATTTATTTGGGAAAATTAGGGAAAAATTCATTGGGTGTTTCCTTCTCGCCAGGGTTGAAACGGATTCTCTGGTGGGTCTGATTGGTCTCTGTCTTCAAGGCAGAGACCAAATTCGTGCTTAATTTCAGTTGGACCATAATCCTGCATGTTTCACATTTGTGAGGAAGTATGATAGCTGGCTCGGCTCTCTATTAAACTTAACTCTGAGCTCTCCTCCGGAGACCAGGCCCCATTTGGCTCAGATAAGCTGCCTGTGTTGACTCCTCAGGATGGCCCTCACCCAATGTTTCTTCCTCCTGTCTCACTGTGAAGTGGAGCCAGCTGGTGCGTCTGGGCCCCTCTGACTCTATTCCCTTTCCACAGAATCATAAAATCAAAGAGTTGGAAGAGATCTCATGGGCCATCCAGTCCAACCCCCTGCCAAGAAGCAGGAATATTGCATTCAAATCACCCCTGACAGATGGCCATCCAGCCTCTGTTTAAAAGCTTCCAAAGAAGGAGCCTCCACCACACTCCGGGGCAGAGAGTTCCACTGCTGAACGGCTCTCACAGTCAGGAAGTTCTTTCTCATGTTCAGATGGAATCTCCTCTCTTGTAGTTTGAAGCCATTGTTCCGCGTCCTAGTCTCCAAGGAAGCAGAAAACAAGCTTGCTCCCTCCTCCCTGTGGCTTCCTCTCACATATTTATACATGGCTATCATATCTCCTCTCAGCCTTCTCCAGGCTAAACATGCCCAGCTCCTTAAGCCGCTCCTCATAGGGCTTGTTCTCCAGACCCTTGATCATTTTAGTCGCCCTCCTCTGGACACATTCCAGCTTGTCAATATCTCTCTTGAATTGTGGTGCCCAGAATTGGACACAATATTCCAGGTGTGGTCTAACCAAGGCAGAATAGAGGGGTAGCATGACTTCCCTAGATCTAGACACTATGCTCCTATTGATGCAGGCCAAAATCCCATTGGCTTTTTTTGCCGCCACATCACATTGTTGGCTCATGTTTAACTTGTTGTCCACGAGGACTCCACGATCTTTTTCACACGTACTGCTCTCGAGCCAGGCATTGTCCCCCATTCTGTATCTTTGCATTTTTTTTTTCTGCCTAAGTGGAGTATCTTGCATTTGTCCCTGTTGAACTTCATTTTGTTAGTTTTGGCCAATCATCTCTCTAATCTGTCAAGATCGTTTTGAATCCTGCTCCTGTCCTCTGGAGTATTGGCTCTCCCTCCCATACATTTCAATATCTGGCTCAGGATCCCCTTTCCTCTAGGAGCCCTTCCCTTACTCTCAGCTGAAGGGAGATAGTTCACAATATGGCCTCTACTGCCTCCAACTAGGCCTTCAGAGTGTGAACTTGGGGAGGAATTTCCTCACAGCCGCAGGTAGGGTTTTTATTTTTTTTTCCTCCAAATGATGAGTACCTCAAGATACTCGGTTGAGCTCAGCGCTGCTCCAAGTTCATCTTCTAGCAACGACCAGCTATCTGCAGATTCTTCTGCTAAGCCCTCAACCTTCTGAGATTTTTCCTCCAAAACATTCAGCCAATTTCCTCTCACTGGATTCCCAGGAAGAGATGGGTTTTGTGAGTTGGAATTTTATGTCCCGATCTGTAGCTTTCTGTCGAAGAAATTGCCGCAACAACAGTGGAATTGCTTTATTTCTCAAAAGCATACAGGGTAGTACAAAGCAAATTTCACAACTCTTATCCCGCACCCTGGTCCCTCCCCTTTATTGCTCCCATTTCGATGGAAACCCTTTCCCTTGTTTCAAGTACGCACAGGCCAGGGCAGCAAAGGCATGGTCTACTTTCCAAGTTCCACACAAAAAGGGGAAACCTTGGATTGACTTCTATAGCTTGCCAGGTGTTGCGGACCCTCCTTGGAGGCTTCCGCTGGTCCTTGCTTGGAAGCAGGACCCCAATACGTTCTGTTCGGCTTCAATTGCAGGCCTTAATATTTTACTGGTGTTGCTAAAATTGTGAACTCTGTCCATACATTTCTTCCATTCAACTCCATTCATACCCACACATCATATCAAATCCACATTTATTAAATCTGCACAATATATTTTGCAACAAACCTGTAATGGAAACAATGGAAGTATTATAACTCACTGGTCTGGGGTGAAGGGTTAGCACTAGATGAAAGGTAAACAAGGGGAAGGCAGAGAGGGGTAAATAATAAGTATGTAATAGAGCTAAAGGATGAACATATTATAGGAGTCAAGACATACATATGTCTGTATTAGAAATCTGTTATGAGGAAGTGGTACCTTTAAGAATCATAGAATCAAAGAATCAAAGAGTTGGAAGAGACCCAATGGGCCATCCAGTCCAACCCCATTCTGCCAAGAAGCAGGAATATTGCATTCAAATCACCCCTGACAGATGGCCATCCAGCCTCTGTTTAAAAGCTTCCAAAGAAGGAGCCTCCACCACACTCCGGGGGCAGAGAGTTCCACTGCTGAACGGCTCTCACAGTCAGGAAGTTTTCGTCTCCTAGTCTCCAGGGAAGCAGAAAACAAGCTTGCTCCCTCCTCCCTGTGGCTTCCTCTCACATATTTAGACATGGCTATCATATCTCCTCTCAGCCTTCTCTTCTTCAGGCTAAACATGCCCAGCTCCTTAAGCCGCTCCTCATAGGGCTTGTTCTCCAGACCCTTGATCATTTTATCGCCCTCCTCTGGACACATTCCAGCTTGTCAATATCTCTCTTGAATTGTGGTGCCCAGAATTGGACACAATATTCCAGGTGTGGTCTAACCAAAGCAGAATAGAGGGGTAGCATTACTTCCCTAGATCTAGACACTATGCTACTATTGATGTAGGCCAAAATCCCATTGGCTTTTTTTTATGCACTGTGTGTATGTGTGTGTATATATAATAATAATAATAATAATAATAATAATAATAATAATAATATTAATAATAATAATAGGACTCTGGCACAAGCCAGTGAATGTGGTCCCAGTGGTGATCGGCACACTGGGCGAAGTGCCTATAGACCTTGGCCTGCACTTGAACACAATTGGCACTGACAAAATTACCACCTGTTAGTTGCAAAAGGCCTACTGGGATCTGCACGCATTATTCGCCGATACATCACATACTCCTAGACACTTGGGAAATGTCCGACGTGTGTTCCAATACAACAACCAGCAGAGTGATCTTGTTTGCTGTGTATTAATCTTGTTGTGTTTCAAATAATAATAATATTATTATTAAAAAAAACTATAAGTTCAGTATAGTTTACACGGGAAAAGTTTTAAACTAAATTAGGTGCTGGGTTGTTGTAGTTTTTTTCGGGCTATATGGCCATGTTCTAGAGGCATTCTCTCCTGACGTTTTGCCTGCATTTATGGCAAGCATCCTCATGAGGATGCTTGCCATAGATGCAGGCAAAACATCAGGAGAGAATGCCTCTAGAACATGGCCATATAGCCCGAAAAAAACTACAACAGCCCAGTAATTCCAGCCATGAAAGCCTTCGACAATACATAAATTAGGTGCTTTTTTATTATTACATCTATCACTATTTTATGCTATTAAGAATATATAACGATTGTATCTTTGTTGATTTTACTTGCTGACCTTATTAATACGTTAAGAAAACTCTGTACTTTCTTTATGTAAATACTGTTTTAATATGTTTTCTGGAACCCCAGATGGTGCAATGGGTTAAACCAGTGTTTCTCAACCTTCCTCATGCCACGATCCCTTATTACAGTTCCTCATATTGTGGTGCCCCCCAGCCATAAAATTATTTTAGTTGCTACTTCACAACTGTAATTTTGCTACTGTTATGAATCATAATGTAATATATCTGATATGCAGAAAGTATTTTCATTCACTGGACCAAATTTGGCACAAACATCCAATACGCCCAAATCTGAATACTGGTGGGGTTGGCAGGGGAATTGATGTTGTCATTTGGGAGTTGTAGTTGCTGGGATTTATGGTTCACCTACAATCAAAGAGCACTCTGAACTCCACGAATGATGGAATTGAACCAAACTTTGCACACAGAACTCCCATGACTAACAGAAAATACTGTGTTTTCTGATGGTCTTTGGTCACCCCTCTGAAACATCCTCACGACCCCCCAGGGGTCCCTACCCCCAGGTTGAGAAACACTGGGTTAAACCCTTCTGTTGGCAAGACCGACAGGTCACAGTTTCAAATCCAGAGAGAGCACGGATGAGCTCCCTCTGCCAGTTCCAGCTCCCCATGCGGGGACATGAGGGAAGCCTCCCACAAGGATGGTAAAACATCAAAACATCCGGGCATCACTTGGGCCATGTCCTTGCAGATGGTCAATTCGCTCGCACCAGAAGCGACTTGAGTCTCAAGTCGCTTCTAACACACACACACAAAAATATTTTGCTTGCATATGTTTTTGTTGGTTACTATACAAGAAATTTTGTTTTCTTGAATAAAAATGACTTAAAAAGAACAAAGAAAGCATTTCCCACATGCCTGGCCTTTGTATGTTTTTCAGCCTGAGTGGATTTTCTGGTGTTTGTTAAGAGATGAAGTCTGAGTAAAGTATTTCCCACATTCTGTGCATCTGTATGGTTTTTCTCCTGTGTGAACTCTCTGATGGCTCACAAGGTATGAACTTCGAACAAAACATTTCCCACACACCTGGCATTTGTGTGGTTTCTCTCCTGTGTGAAGTATTTTGTGCCTCACCAAGGCGGAGCTGTCAGCAAAACATTTCCCACACTCCTGGCATTGGTATGGCTTCTCTCCTGTGTGAAGTCTTTTGTGCCTCACAAAGGCTGAACTATCAGCAAAACATTTCCCACACTCCTGGCATCTGTGGGGCTTCTCTCCTACGTGAAGTCTTTTGTGCCTCACCAAGCATGAACTGTAAGCAAAACATTTCCTACACTCCTCACATTCATGTGGCTTTTCTCCTGTGTGAAGTATTTTATGCCTTACCAAGCATGAACTGTAAGCAAAACATTTCCCACATTCCTGGCATATGTATGGCTTCTCTCCTGTGTGAAGTCTTTTGTGCCTCACCAACTCTGAACTGGAAGCATAACATTTCCCACATTTCTGGCATTTATATGGTTTCTCTCCTGTGTGGCATCTTAAGTGGTTTATAAGATTTGTATTACAAGCAAAAAATTTCCCACACTCCTGGCATTGGTATGGCTTCTCTACTGCGTGGACTCTTTTGTGGGTTGTCAATTGTGAACTGTAAGCAAAACATTTCCGACACTCCTGGCATTGGTATGGCTTCTCTCCTGTGTGGACTCTTTTGTGGCTCACTAGTTGTGAACTGCGAACAAAACATTTCCCACACTCCTGGCATTGGTGTGGCTTCTCTCCTGTGTGGAGTCTTTTGTGCCTCACCAAGGCTGAACTGGAAGCAAAACATTTCCCACATTCCTGGCATTTGTATGGTTCTTGTCCTGTGTGAAATTTATCATCTTTCACCAAGTGTGCACTCTGGATAAAAGATTTTCCACACACCCGGCTTATGAAATCCTCAGTTCCAAAGATTTCTTGCTGGCTAAGATGTGACCATTTGTAACCAACAACACATTTTGCTGATACTTTCCATTTAAAATGGCTTTTCTCAGCATGGAGTGTTTTGTGAAGCACTAATTCCATAGTTTGGGTAAAACACTGGCCACATACATTGCATTTGTAGGGCCTTTCTCTGTGAGAACCTCCATCTTCTCTGTGGTCTTGCATGTTTCTTGGAAGGCCACTGTTGTGTCCAAAATGTTTCTTGCGTTTGGTGCATACACTGTCCTTCTTCTTCCAGTGATCTGGTGGGAAGAAGGACAGAAACAATTATTCTTCAGCATGGGTGATAAGGAATCTAAAGAAGTTGGATAAGAAGTGGAGTGAAATTATCCTTAAAACTACATAGGCACGGAGGAAAAGAAGATATAAATATTGTTGTTTCCTAATAGAATCATAGAGTCATAGAGTTGTAAAGAGACCTCATGGGCCATCCAGTCCAACCCCCTGCCAAGAAGCAGGAATTGCATTCAAAGCACCCCTGACAGATGGCCATCCAGCCTCTGTTTAAAAGCCTCCAAAGAAGGGGCCTCCACCACACTCCGGGGCAGAGAGTTCCACTGCTGAACAGCTCTCACAGTCAGGAAGTTCTTCCTAATGTTGAGATGGAATCTCCTTTCTTGTAGTTTGAAGACATTGTTCCATTGTATCCTAGTCTCCAGGGCAGCAGAAAACAAGCTTGCTCCCTCATCCCTGTGACTTCCTCTCACATATTAATAATCACATAATAATAATAATAATAATAATAATAATAATCTTTATATACTACCATTATCTCCCTGGAGGGACTTGGGGCGGCTCACAAAAGCACTCAAGGTGCAAACACATAAAATACAATAAATGCATGACCAGTATCACAATAACAATAACAAACCACTTTACCTCTTGTTCAGTAAAGATGGACACTCTTTGACTGCCTAGACCAGGGGTCCTCAAACTAAGGCCCAGGGGCCGAACACAGCCCTCCAAGGTCATTTACTTGGCCCTCGCTCAGTTTCAACCTAAGTCTGAAATGACTTGAAAGCACACAACAACAACAATCCTATCTCATCAGCCAAAAGCAGGCCCACACTTCCCATTAAAATACTAATACGTTTATATTTGATAAAATTGTCCTTCATTTTAATTATTATATTGTTTAAAGTGTCTTTTGCACTACAAATAAGATATGTGCAGTGTGCATAGGAATACATTCATGTTTTTTTTTTCAAATTATAACCCGGCCCCCCAACACTTTGAGGGACTGTGATCTGGCCCTCTGTTTAAAAGGTTTGAGGACCCCTGGCCTAGACTCTAGGCCCTGGAGCCTCTGAGAGAGAGAGATGAGTAACAAATGTTCCAGAGGATACTTTTTGCTCAGCCTAGTAACATATATGCCAGAGGCTACCTGTTGCTCAGACAGGTAGAAGCTAACTTGCCTGGTTGGGAGGAAAAGTGAAATTGAATACCATGTCAGTAAAAAGATGTATAACTACATCTGTGTATGTGAAGTCAGGGGAAGTTTGTTCTTTCTGATGATCCATTCTCTGGCCTGTCTCTAGCCAATCGATCTTTTCCATCATTTTCCATACTCCTTTTGGCTTTATGTATGCAGTGGCTTTCTAAGCCTGCCAAGGGCACACTGGATGCAAAACCAGGTTGCTGAAAATGTGTGCCTGAAGTCAGGAGAGGTTAGTTGGTTTACTTTTTTGAAAATCTGCTCCCTCCTTCTCCCCTGCCTCTCTCTCACACATACATTCACAGAGAGAGGCAGCAGGTAGCAAGACTGACCTGGGGTGATCACTCTTGAGAGGTTTTCTAGGGAGCCCAGGTTGTGGCAAGGGAGTGTGGAACACTTGTACTTGACTCTAGATATGGAAAACTTCCCACTGGAGTCCTAGTTGGTGCCAACATCACTGTTGCTCATGCACTAAATCAATATTCTGTGATATATTTCTAACATAACTTCTGCCTTGAGGACCCTCAGAGATTGTGATGATGCAGGATATTGCTCCCTCTAGGCAGCTGCTGATTGGGATATTGCATTTGGAAATAGAAATCCCCAACAATGGGGGAGCCTTACCAAGAGAGTCCACCATCCCATGAATCTCCTCCATGACCTGCATGTGCAAGGCTTTCTGACCTGGATTGAGGAGAACCCACTCCTCCAGGGAGAAATGGACAGACACCTCCTCAAAGGCAATTGGGCCCTGTGGAAAAAAGAAAACATTTCCTTCTCACATCAGGGACATCAAGAAAAATAATTACAAGAATCTCTTTAAAGTAGATTTACATTCCTGTTGGTTTTTAATTCCTTGTTGGCACTGTCTGCAATTGTGCCTTCAGTATTTCACTTTTAAGAAACTCCCATTCGATCTTTTTTCTTTCAACATATGTTTGATGATTAAGCCTGGAACAAATGACCCCCAGGCAGCTCCCTTCCTCCTCTCCCAGGAATCCTTCTGCTTACCTGATTCACTTCCACTCCATCACAAAGAGGAAGATGCGAATCTGGATTCAGCAACAACATTGTTCCAGCACCTGGGAGAAGAAAGAGCAAGGTGAGAATTACTGTCTTATAAAGAAACCTATGAGGAAATGACCCTATTAACTCAGGAGCATTTTCCAGTCCAAAAACATGTACAATTTAGGAGTTGAGGACTTTTTGTCTCATCCAGTGCTGTGAATAGGTTGGATCGGAAACAATACTGGACATGGTATTTCAAGTTATGTTGCCAGATGCTCGTATGTGAAGTGATTTATAGTGTCGAAATCATGACTTCCCGGAAGCACTGCAAGTTGGATACCTTTCACAGCAAAAACATGCTTTGGCCCATCTATTAGCAGAGTCCTACCAGCATCTGACCGTATCTACACACACTGTTTAATAAACTCATTGATTCATGTTTTCATCCAAAATACCCAGAGGCTTTAATCTTCACAGCTGTAAAAACAGCTATGTCTCTGTGTGATAGGTGATGTTATTTTATGTGATGTGTTTACAGTGTTCTCTCACCACTTTGCGGTTCGCTTTGTGCGGACTCTCCATACTGTGTTTTTTTCCCCTTCCCCCTAAGCTGCGGGGGGGGGGGGGGGGGGGGGGGGGGAAGGAGGAGGAAGAGGAGGAGGGGAGGGGGAGCCAGGCTTCCTCCTCCTCCTCGCCACCTGTGCTCCTGCCAGCTTCGGAGGCCCCTTGAAGCCTCAGCCTAGCCTGGCAGTGCCATCAATGGTGCTCAAGGGGCCTCGGGGTGAGAAAAGCGGTATACAAATACTGTAAATAAATACCTTCTAAGGCTGTGGTCCCATCTCCTTCCTGCTTGAGGTCCTTCTGCTGGAGGCTCTGGGTGGTGTCTGTGTGAGACTCCTCGAATGCAGGGACATCAAGGTGGACTTCTGTGCATTTATTTTGGTCCTGAAAGACCACAGAGAATTTCAGAAGGAGTATGGAGAAAGAGTAGAAAAATATTTTTTTTCCAAACATGCAGAAACGGCATTCAGCGATTGCAGCCTAGTTTGATACAAAGGCCATGCTCCCCCTTCCATCATTTTCAATGTGATATCTGGGATCAACAAATGTGAGGAGAGGAGGAACTGAGCTTACAGCAGATATGGAGGTGAGAGCAGGAGGGGCAGAGCAGGTGGGAAAAGAGGCCGAGGGAGAAGAGTCCGGCTTCTCCCTCATATCGGTCCCATCTTGAAAGGAAGGCAGGATGTATGTTTAATCTATATATCAGTCCCAAGGTGAGTGAAGCCAAGAGGAAATCCTCTCACCTGTCCTTCCTGCTTCTCGTCCTCTGCCCGACTCAGGAGGAAGCCTTCCGCCAGGGCCACCGCCTGAGAAGAGGTCTCTGCCCCACACTCTCGGACCCAGCTCCCCATCTCTGGGGGCAGGATGCTCAGGAACTGCTCCAGGATCACCAGGTCCAGCATCTCCGCCTTGGTGTGTTGCTCTGGCTTCAGCCACTGGCGGCAGAGAGAGTGGAGGCGGCTGCAAACCTCTCTGGGTCCCTCGCCCTCTCGGAAGGAGGAATGCCTGAAGCGCTGGCGCTGCGTGTCTGAGCTAGAAAGGTCCACACTCGGGAACTTATGTGTATTTTTTCCCCAAGATGCTCCACTGCTCCCAAGTCCTGATTCAATTCCAGGTGAGTTGGGTCTCTGCATGTTGGAACCACTGTTTGTAGAAGAAGCAAACCGTATCCAAGATGCTTTTCTTCCCTCTTCCATCAAGGGAAAGAAATCTCTCAACAGGCTCTATTCCAAAATTCACAGCCAACCATCACCTTTCCTCTGTGAAAGAAAAGCAGAATTTGACAACAGGCTTTGAGAGGCTTTTTCTTGGAGAGTAAAAAAACCAAGCCCTTTATTTATTTATTTCAGAGCCAGGTAATGCTGGGCCTTCCTTCCACTTGGGCCTCTGCTTCTCCAGCCTCCAGACCCACCTGGTCCCCCATTGAGCTCCCATTCAGTCCCAACCCACATTGAATCACCCCATGATTCCTTCAGCTGATGCTACATGATGATTAGCTTTTCTTGTAAAGAAGGGCCAGGAGACTTTGAAACAAGAGACCAAAATCAATATAACAACCAATGTAAAATATTTGGAAATGCAATTGACAAACAAAAACTCTGTATTATTTAAAAACGACTATGAAAAGGTATGGAAAGAGATACTGTACGGGATATTCAGCTATCCTCTCGGGTCACAGTGGTGCAAGGAAGGAGGAGAGGACAAGCTGGAGTGGTGAAGAAGCAGCCACATTTATTTGCTGATCAGCAGATGGCGGTCAGTTTGCTCATGCAAAAAGTACTGCCATGGCCAACAATGGGTCAGCAGCCTTATATCCCTTCTTAGGGTTTTGAAAACTTCTGATTGGTTACATACATTACATTGATTCTCATGTTAAGATGGAATCTCCTTTCCTGTAGTGTGAAGCCATTGTTCCATTGCATCCTAGTCTCCAGGGCAGCAGAAAGGAAGCTTGCTCCTCCTCCCTATGACTTCCCCTCACATATTTATACATGGCTATCATGTCTCCTCTCAGCCTTCTCTTCTTCAGGCTAAACATGCCCAGCTCCTTAAGCCGCTCCTCATAGGGCTTGTTCTCCAGACCCTTGATCATTTTAGTCGCTCTCCTCTGGACACATTCCAGCTTGTCAATATCTCTCTTGAATTGTGGTGCCCAGAATTGGACACAATATTCCAGGTGTGGTCTAACCAAAGCGGAATAGAGGGGTAGCATGACTTCCCTAGATCTAGACACTATGCTCCTATTGATGCAGGTCAAAATCCCATTGGCTTTTTTTTGCCGCCACATCACATTGTTGGCTCATGTTTAACTTGTTGTCCACGAGGACTCCAAGATCTTTTTCACATGTACTGCTCTCGAGCCAGGCATTGTCCCCCATTCTGTCTCTTTGCATTTCATTTTTTTCTGCCTAAGTGGAGTATCTTGCATTTGTCACTGTTGAACTTCATTTTGTTAGTTTTGGCCAATCATCTCTCTAATCTGTCAAGATCCTTTCAGCCTTCTCTTCTGTCTCCTCTCAGCCTTCTCTTCTGCAGGCTAAACATGCCCAGTTCTTTAAGCCACTCCTCATAGGGCTTGTTCTCCAGGCCCTTGATCATTTTAGTCGCCCTCCTCTGGACACATTCCAGCTTGTCAACATCTCCCTTCAATTGTAGTGCCCATAAGTATATACAATATATTATATTACATCATATTACATTATTATAATATTAGCATAGCACAGAACTCAAAGGGGGGAAAGAGGGCCCAGGCAGGCAGGCAGGCAGGAGAGGGGGTTGGAAGGGGAAAGGCATGGGCCTCTCTCTGCCTGCCTCCCTGTCTCTCCTCCAAAGGATCCCCCAGTTGGAGTACCTGGTGACCCCCAACCCCATGTGAGTCCAGGCCTGGGCCCACTTTGGCCCTCCCTCCAGGTGTGTTGGGCTTCACCCTCCCTTTGGCCCTTTGGAGAAGGAATGGGAAGAAGGCTCACCACAAGGAGGAGAAGGGAGAGGCCAAAGGGGCAAACACCTCTCTCCCAGCCGGGCAAGGAAGGGTTAAGGGGAGAGAGTGTGGTTCCTAGAAGGACAGGAAAAGCGGGTCTAAGGAGGCCCACTTCCTTCCTGCCTCTCTGGGAACCACACTCCCTCCCCTTAACCCTTCCTTGCCCAGCATTGCTCTGAAGAGGGGAAAGAGCATCTCTCCAAAGCCCTGGAACCAAAGGATGAAAGATGATGGCAGAGATTGAGTCATGGAAGAAACATTCCCTATTCATAGGATAATTAATTAGATATCTTCTCTCCCTGCCAAACCCATGGTCTCCAACCCCACTGAACATTAATCAATCTATCCAGGGAGCAGAAGCAGAGCCTCCATCTACAACAGAGAAAGAAGGTCTCAGTCCAGGGTCAAGTGTGTGTCTGTCAACTGTAAAATAAGACGTATGAAACTGATTGGTCAAGCAATGCTCAGGGAGATGGCCGAGCCTGGGACTCTTGGATACAGTTACATTTTGTTCAGGCTTGAGCTATGCAGATGCAGAGAGAGAAGAAGAGCAAAACAGAGAGAGAGGCGGGGGGAGAGTTTGGAGTGTGCTCTCGCTTCATGAGCTGTTGAAGGAGTTTATCCACATGGACAAGGGTCTGGAGAACAAGCCCTATGAGGAGCGGCTTAAGGAGCTGGGCATGTTTAGCCTGAAGAAGAGAAGGCTGAGAGGAGATATGATAGCCATGTATAAATATGTGAGAGGAAGCCACAGGGAGGAGGGAGCAAGCTTGTTTTCTGCTTCCTTGGAGACTAGGACGGAACAATGGCTTCAAACTACAAGAGAGGAGATTCCATCTGAACATGAGGAAGAACTTCCTGACTGTGAGAGCCATTCAGCTGTGGAACTCACTTCCCCAGAGTGTGATGGAGGCTCCTTCTTTGAAAGCTTTTAAATAGAGGCTGGATGGCCATCTGTCAAGGGTGATTTGAATGCAATATTTCTGCTTCTTGGCAGAATGGGATTGGCCTGGATGGCCCATGAGGTCTCTTCCAATTCTATGGAATCTGAGAAACAGAAAGAGACATAGTTTGGAGAGTGCTCTCGCTTCATGAGCTGCTGAAGGAGTTTCTCCACGTGGACAAAGAAAGACCATTTTAAATCTCTCATAAAAGGACATTGTGTGAATTGATGTAACTGATCATATTGTACATATGTTGTTCTGAACTATGGAGAGTAAACTGCTTGTTCTTTACGGTTCACCTGTGTGGCATGTTTTCTTTCTCTAGCAAGGCAGTGTGTGGGCTGATCAAACATGAACTATACATTGTTTATTGTACATTACGCAACAACATACGGTATATACTCGAGTATAAGCCAACCGAAATATAAGACAAGGCTCCTAATTTTACCACAAAAAAAATTGGGAAACATGACTCGAGTGACTCGAGTATAAGCCGAGGGTGGGAAATGTAGAAGCGACTGGTCAATTTCAAAAATAGTTAAGATATATTATCTCCCTGTCAAACCCTTGCTCTCCAACCCCATAAAAAGATGGAACGACTGACGATGCAATTGGACAACAGGRTGTGTTGTTTTTAAATCACATTTTAAATYTTTTAATTTTTTATTATTGTTTTTAACTAATTGCTAAGGCATTGAATCGCTGCTGACTGAACCACTGCCGACTGTGAACTGGGGGGGGGGGGGTAAAGGGGTGTCACGGGTCATCAAAGACCATCAGAAAACACAGTATTGTCTGTTGATCATGGGATTCTGTGTGGGAAGTTTGGCCCAATTCTATCATTGGTGGGATTCAGAATGCTCTTTCATGGTAGGTGAACTATAAATCACAGCAACTACGACTCCCAAATGTCAAGTCTCTTTTCCGAAACACCACCACTGTACACATTTGGGTATATTGACTATTCGTGCCATACTTGGTCCAGATCCATCATTCTTTGAGTCCACAGTGCTTCTAGATGTAGATGAACTACAACTCCAAAACTTAAGGTCAATGCCCACCAAACCTTTCCAGTATGTTCCGTTGGTCATGGGAGTGCTGTGTGGCAAGTTTGGTCCAATTCCATCATGGGTGGATTCACAATGCTCTTTGATTGTAGGCGATCTGTAAATCCCAGCAACACAACACCCAAATGACAAAATAACCTGTCCCCCCCCCCCCCAACAAGCCCACCAGTATTCAAATTTGGGCATATCAGGTATTTGTGCCAAATTTGGTCTAGTGACTGAAAATACATCCTGCATATCAGATATTTGCATTACGATTCACAACAGTAGCAAAATTACAGTTATGAAGTAGCAATAAAAATAATGTTATGGTTGGGGGTCACCACAATATGAGGAACTGCATTATTTAGGGGTCACAGCACTAGGATGGTTGAGAACTACTGCATTAAAAGTTTTGAAATTTTACATTTTCTCAAACCATTGGAAGTGAAATATCAAGGATATTTAACATTGTTAATTCGAAACAAATAACAACAAGGCTTGTGTTTTTTTTTTTTTTTTTAATTAAATGTGGATTAAAAGTGTATGTGCCAGGTTCAGGGAAATGGCCAGTAAATGACATGAAAGGGCACGCCGTCAAATTTTAGGAGGAACTTCTGAAACCAGATGTTTACCTACAAAGATGGATCAGGGGAAAGACAGTACAGTCCAGAGTAGCAAAAGAGTTCTCCGAAACAGTTCCAAGTCAAACAAAGCAACAATAATAAAACTTTATAAGACTTTGAAACCAAGAAGAGGGTGGTCTAAGAGATCAGTCTGAAGTCAAAGTGCTACTAGAAACTAACAGAGTCCCACACACAGCCAGGATCCCCACAACCTGGATTTTCCCTGTTGCGACTCATTTTATTAGTTTTCTCCCAGCTCTTTGGATGATTTGGCTCCTGTATGTAGTCTCTGATGGTTCAAAAAGCATGAACCCCGAATGAAACATTTCCCACACTGTTGACATTGATATGGCTTCTCTCCTGTGTGGAGTCTTTCATGGCTCACCAAATGTGAACTGTAAGCAAAACATTTTCCACACTCCTGGCATTGGTATGGCTTCTCTCCTGTGTGGAGTCTTGTGTGCCTCAACAAGTCTGAACTGGAAGCAAAACATTTCTCACATTCCTGGCATTGGTATGGCTTCTCTCCTGTGTGGAGTCTTTTGTGGCTCACCAAGTGCGAGTTGTAAGCAAAACATTTCCCACACTCCTGGCAGTGGTATGGCTTTTCTCCTGTGTGGAGTCTATTGTGGCTCAGCAAGTCTGAACTGTAAGCAAAACATTTGCCACACTCCTGGCATTGGTATGGCTTCTCTCCTGTGTGGAGTCTATTGTGGCTCACCAACTGTGAACTGCAAGCAAAACATTTCCCACACTCCTGGCATTGGTATGGCTTCTCTCCTGTGTGGAGTCTTTTGTGCTCACCAAATGTGAACTGTAAACAAAACATTTCCCACACTCCTGGCATTGGTATGGTTTTTCTCCTGTGTGAAGTCTTTTGTGGCTCACCAAGTCTGAACTGTAAGCAAAACTTTTCCCACATTCCTGGCATTGGTATGGCTTCTCTCCTGTGTGGAGTCTTTTGTGCCTCACCAAGTCTGAACTGGAAGCAAAACATTTCCCACACTCCTGGCATTGGTATGGCTTTTCTCCTGTGTGGATTCTCTGGTGGCTCACAAGGGATGAACTTTGAACAAAACTTTTCCCACACACCTGGCATTGGTATGGCTTCTCCCCTGTGTGAAGTCTTCTGTGGCTTGCCAAATATGAACTACGAGCAAAACATTCTCCACACACCTGGCATTGGTACGGTTTCTCTCCTGTGTGGACTCTTTTGTGGCTCGCCAAATATGAACTACGAGCAAAACATTTCCCACACTCCTGGCATTGGTACGGCTTCTCTCCTGTGTGGAGTCTTTTGTGGCTCACCAAGTCTGAATTGTAAGCAAAACATTTCCCACACTCCTGGCATTGGTATGGCTTCTCTCCAGTGTGGACTCTCTGGTGGCTCACAAGGGATGAACTTGCATAGGATGCCCAGTGTTCTATAAGGTGTGTGTTCTGAGTAAAATATTCCTGGTATCTCTCGTGTTGCACCAACTGTGTATTCTGGATAAATGATTTCCCATATTCCTTGGTTCTTTCAAAGATTTCTTCTTGGCTGAGATCTGGCAATCTGTAATCAACAACACATTTTGTTGATACTTCCAATTTATGATGGTTTTTCCCAACATGGAGTGTCTTGTGAAGCTCAGGTACCATATTTTGAGTGAAACATTTCCCACATACATTACATTTGAAGGGCATTTCTCTGGCAGAACCTCCATCTTCTCTGTGCGCTTGCTGGTATGTCAGTTGGCCCTCATTGTGCCCAAAAAGCTTCCTGCATTCGGTGCATACACTGCTCTTCTTCCAGTTATCTGCTGTGAAAAAGTATAGAAACAATGAATCTTTTGTGCGAGTAATAAGGATTCTAAGGAAGTGGAATAAGAAGTGGAATGAAATTATAATTAAAACAACAAACATGGAGGAAAAGAAGATACAAATCCTGTCCTCTCCCCACCCCTTGTTCAGTAAAGAAGGACACTGTTTGACTACCTGGCACCTCTAAGGGAGAGATGAGTAACATAAGCTCCAGAGGTGTGTTACTCAGCCCAATCCGGTTTTTTATTTTGTCTCCTTCTCTCTATGGGAATGGATGCCTTTTCCCTTCACATTCAAATGCTTGCCTTTTTCTCTAGCTTAAGACTTACCTTTCTACCACCCATATCACAATTGTTCCCTTCTTTTATTTCTCTCCCCCAACCTCTTTCTTCCCATGCTCAGTTAAGGATGGATTTTTCTGCTCCAATGTAGAAGGTCCTATAATTAATTTCAGAGTGCTAAAGATATGGTTACGCTTTTACCATCAACTAGCCATCGCACTAGCCTTGGCCTGGCCCTCTTTAATTGGCTAGGCCCATTTCTGAAATCTTGGCCCTAACAGTATGCACAAAGAACAGGCGGGATTACTTTCAATGTATATGTGTTGTTTTGACAATGTTATGCTTATCTT